AGATCTAGTTGCCTAGTTTCCAGGATAAAATCCGTACAATTTGAAAACAAATCCGTACAATCGGTGCAATCCGTACAATCCGTACAATTTTAGGGTTAAAAAAAAAACCAATCCGTACATTTTGGCCACCCTGCATGATCCTTAGCTAGTTACCAGTCCTGTAACATTATCCTTAGTTAGTTACCAGTCCGGTAGCATGATGATTAGTTAGTTACCAGTTCTGTAAAATAATCCTTAATAAGTTATCAGTCCTGTAACATAATCCTTAGTTAGTTACCAGTCCTGTAACATGATGATTAGGTAGTTCACAGTTCTGAAACATAATCCTTATTAAGTTATCAGTCCTGTAACATGATCCTTAGTTAGTTACCAGTCCTGTAACATGATGATTAGTTAGTTACCAGTCCTAAAAATAATCCTTAGTAAGTTACCAGTCCTGTAACATAATCCTTGGTTAGTTACCAGTCCTGTAACATGATGATTAGTTAGTTACCAGTCCTAAAAATAATCCTTAGTAAGTTACCAGTCCTGTAACATAATCCTTGGTTAGTTACCAGTCCTGTAACATGATCCTTAGATAGTTATCAGTCCTGTAGCATGATCCTTAGTTAGTTACCTGTCCTGTAACTTAATCCTTAATTAGTTACCAGTCCTGTAACATGATGTTTTGTTAGTTACCAGTCGTGTAACATAATCCTTAGTTAGTTCACAGTCCTGTAACATAATCCTTAGCAAGTTACCATTCCTGTAACATGATCCTTAGATAGTTATCAGTCCTGTAGCATGATCCTTAGTTAGTTACCTGTCCTGTAACATAATCCTTAATTAGTTACCAGTCCGTAACATGATGTTTTGTTAGTTATCAGTCCTGTAACATGATGTTTTGTTAGTTACCAGTCCTGTAACATAATCCTTAGTTAGTCCTGTAACATAATCCTTAGTTAGTTAACAGTCCTGTAACATAATCCTGAGTTAGTTACCAGCTCTGTAAAAAATCCTTGTGTACCCTGCAGATAGTTAGTAACTGGTACTGTAACATGATCCATTGCTTTTTATCTGTGTTAAAAAATGTGGTTTAAATGTTCGTAAGTCAAAATAAATTCATTTAAGTTATTTTTATAAAAGATGGTAACTCAGGGATCTAAATTATCCTTTAAATATAGTTTGTACAAGAACAACGCATTGAACTATTAAATATATATCATTTTCATATCATATCAATTTAACCCTTAAATCAACATGAACATGAACATTTTCACCTTTCCAAATTTGTCTAGTTTAGTGTAGTTGTCTATTTACCTCTCCCAATTTGTCCAGCTTAGTGTAAGTGTCTATTTACCTCTCCCAATTTGTCTAGTTTAGTGTAGATGTCTATTTACCTATCCCAATTTGTCTAGTTTAGTTTAGGTGTCTATTTACCTCTCCAAATTTGTCCAGCTTAGTGTAGGTGTCTTTTTACCTCTCCCAATTTGTCTAGTTTAGTGTAGGTGTATTTTTACTTCTCCCAATTTGACTAGTTTAGTGTAGGTGTCTATTTACCTCTCCCAATTTGTCTAGTTTAGTGGAGGTGTCTTTTTACCTCTCCCAATTTGTCTAATTTAGTGTAGGTGTCTATTTTCCTCTCCCAATTTGTCTAGTTTAGTGTAGGTGTCTATTTACCTCTCCTAATTTGTCTAGTTCAGTAATTTGTCTAGTTTAATGTAGGTGTCTATTTACCTCTCCCAATTTGTCTAATTTAGTGTAGGTGTCTATTTACCTCTCCCAATTTGTCTAGTTTAGTGTAGGTGTCTATTCTCCCGAAACCAATCTCAGACAAAGACTGTCTCCGATTGGCCCTAAAATAAACAAAATAAAAATATTTTTTCAAGTATGGAAGTTAAAATAGCAGTATACTTATTTAGAGCTGAGAACTTTACTTGGAAACTCATAATCCCGATTGTTTAATCTCGATATCCATTGTGGGCACTTTTAATTTGAGGATCTTTAAAGAACTATACCTTTCCATATCTTCATTTTAGATATTCCTTCCCTGATTAAAGCTCCCTTCAACCCCTGACTGGGTACGATTGTCATGTGGTTTATCAAATAAAGATTAAACTAATCTGTAGATTAACAGAAGATCGAGTTCAAGCATTGATCTTGATATCCAAATTACAAGAGTTCCCAGTTCTGATCAGATTAAACTTAATCTCATAAATACTAATAAAAATAAGACGACATTTGGTAATCATCTTCCATATAATTTCCTGCCAAAAAGTCGCTTTCTTGTTTAACAATTTGCAATTTGTATAAACGTAGTAATTTCATGTTTGCTATTCGAAAATATTACAAATAACCATTTATTCTAATATAAAACTTTTGAATGGAGGGGGGAAATGATAAAAGGGGGATTTACCTGGTAATAGTACCCTCCAGGGTGGGGGAAACTGTTTGACGCGAAATAAAGTTCTCCGGCAGCCTAAAAGGACAAAGATACACTTGAACTAAAGTCGTCTGAATTACAAGAATGTGGAACATTTTAAAAATAAAAGCTATTTAATGTTGTATCACAGTGTTATATTAAATTCAAATAGAGTTCTCACCGTAAATCTGCGGGCAAGGATAGACGTTTACTGATTTCTTCCTGCTTTGAAATTTTTCGGTTGACTGGCGGCTTCTGTCGCATTTTAACCTGAAACAATTGCGCCTTTTATCAGAATATTTCGCGGATTTTTTTTCACTGTACACAAAATTTTACTAAATGCTTAAAAGATTAGTTTTTAAAGAAAAGGAAATAAGAACTTGTACAATCAAAAAAATTAACACTTTAGCGACAACAAAATAAATAAAAAAGATTAATGTATAATTTTATCAGGGCTCGTTGTACAAAACCTTTGTAAAAAAATGATTTAAAATTTTTCTTGATTAGGTGCAAATACATTGAATGGGTCGTTTTAAAATTCTTAGTACACAATTTCTTTATCATACTCCAAACAAAAATAAATTTAGTATTTTAAGATGTTAGAGAATAAATAAATATGTTTGTTTACCAATTCAGCAGAGTTTGACTGATTGCTATCAGCAGATACTGGACTGATATTTTGTTCTTCTGAAGTTCCAGATCCTTCCTCAGATTCTCCGTCAGACCCTATCCGAGGGTGTTCATGAACCACACCTGGAATATCAAATCAATTTCAATTGAATAAAATCAAATTAAACAAGATAAAATCACATCAAATAAAATCAGATCGATTTCAATTCAGTAGGTGGCTTAATGCATATTCATTCAAAATCTGTAAAATGAAAAAATTCGAGATCGAAATTTATTTGGAAAGTTTTATAAACATAGGTTCAGATAGTATACACAGTTTATAAAGCCAGGGGTGGGAGGGGGAAGGGGGCTCTCAAGGCTTAAGGGAGGGTTTACGAAAACAGAAAGAATATAATTAACAAGCAAATAGTAATTAATATGGCACTGCTACTTTTTCCTCTAAGCGATATTTCTGTAAAACTATTTAACAATCCTAAGCGGGCCCTTCTCGATTTTACCACCTCTTCAATGTATGATAAATCACATGTATGTATAGTGTTTATTTGCATGTATGTATAGTGTTTATTTGCATGTATGTATAGTGTTTATTTGCATGTATGTATAGTGTTTATTTGCATGTATGTATAGTGTTTATTTGTATGTATGTATAGTGTTTATTTGTATCTATGCTTAGTGTTTACTTGTATGTGTGTATGTATAGTGTTAATTTGTATGTATGTATGTGTGTCCGATAAAACATCTGAACCCTCTGACCGACTTGCCTCAAATTTTGTTGATTGGGGAACATGGTAGAACCACGGGAATGTTAAGTTAAAATCTTTATTTGAATAGGCTATTCCAGGCAAAGCTGGGTTTTTAAGCTCGTAATCTGACACAAGGGGAAAAATGGTCTATGCAGTATGCAAATCATATTTTTAAAAAGAAAGTTCACAAAATAAATTTTATCTTTATTTTTGGTAAGTTTAGGATATTATTCACTTAAGTACCAAGATATGAATAAAAGAAACACATTTTCTCTTAGATCTGTAGTCTAACTTGTGTAACATGTAGACGTAGCATGTGTACCGTTAAACTGTAAAAAACTGTTATTGCACTCTTTACTGGAAATTCATTAAAACTTCTCTGAACAATCCCTTTACTATGAAGTGTATGAGTACAGGGTTCAAGGCCTGAAGCTGACTCCATGGATTATAAAACTAAACAAAGCTGACTGAGCCGAAATATAATAGTAAAATAGTAATCTGGTAAATAAGGACCACACAACAATTAACAAAAACGTTAATCCCCATTCCCCCTCCTTCTTAAAAATATTCAAATTTATTTTCATGAATGAAGCCCTGAGTTGAACTGAGTTCTTATGTAAACTGCATGTGTTAGCTTGATCAAGAAATTCAGGATTCAGGGGGAGAAACAGGGGTTATTTCTTAAATTATCGTTTAGTTCATAATTTTATATTTTTCAATTCATTGATATAAAATTATTTTTAAATGAGAAACTAAAAATAAAGTACACTCAAAATTAACTACAACTAAGGACGTCCAAGCATAATCTCAATAAACTTTGTTACACTTTGATCTGATAATTTAATGAAAGCGTAATAGATTTTATAAATGAAATATTTAGCACTAGTTGATTAAAATTTGGTTTCAAAATTGGACAACATCTCATCAACAACAATAACTTCACCATATTCGACATAAAATAAGTAGTACTAACTATGTATTTAATTCATGGTTAACTAAAACAGTTTTTATTCATTTACAGACTCGGAAGAGCCTAATTAGTTTAGAAATTAATACCAAATTTTACAGAAAGAAATTGAGTTTTTGCCCAAAAACTCTGATCTTCTGACCCCAATATCTTTGCAACCTGATGGTGCAATACTTTGATATTTCAAACTTAGATTATTTTTATATTATTTTTATATAAGTATTAATAGTTTGAAATATCTAAGGTCTACAAAATTGGATTACGAAGGTATAAAGATTAGAAAATCAGAGTTTGTGGCAAAAACTCAACTCCTTTAACAGTTTAAAGATAAATCAAATAATCAGGCTTCCATGTACAGATCAAATAAATATTTAAACCATTAGGTGATCTACAAAAAAAATCAAACTCATTGGTTATGATAAACCTCTTTTGAAATTTTCTAACATTCCCTTCTTCTAAGTTTCCTTTAAGCAAAATCCATGCAGATTCTAAGTACATTAAATGTTTAAAGTTTTAACCCCAAAATCCGTGTTCCTGTCTAATTTTCATTAATCCCTGTCACAACAGTTCTGTCCATATTTTCCAATATGTCCTCCCCAGCCCCCAAAATCCCCCAAATATCCTTCCTAAATCTTCGATATGCCTTCACTAAATAATTTAGATTTTCTCAGGCCGTGTCACGTCCATCGGATGATTTCTTATCACTTCTACTCATTATTAAATAAAATTCTTCACATTCTCCCAACCCCAAAACTGTCATAAATTGCTGCAATATAGACTGATGTGAGAATATTATGGAAGTTGAACCTTCCATCCTACATCCCTTAACCTTAGGATAACATAATCAAAATAAATGTGATTTTAATTCCTAATGTCAGTTGTTAACAGGAAGCCTAGACAAGCCTCCTAATTTAAATCCATATGAGAAAGCTTGATGCATGTAAAGTTTTTTTTGCTTATACATCCCAGCTGCAATTAAAAAGTTGTGAAACTGCTTTCATCAGCAGAAAATATCTATCTAGCCTTCATAAAGAACATATTTTAATGAAAAATCAACAACACCGAGTTTCATTTCCCCATGGCATAAACAGTATTTTGACCTTTCATTGAGGCATGTGTAATCAGGGGGAAATTGTAAATATCGAAAACGAAGCATCCAATATTCCCTCCGTAATAAAATTAGTTTTGCACCCAGGCAGGAAGTATGCAAACAGATCATTAATAACCCTACAAAAAAATAGCACATATCATGCTACAGGGCCAGAAATTTACTAAAACTGCCTTACCTCTAACTAAGCTTTTTACAAATCTGTTAAATGGACTGGGTGTCCTACTCCGCATCTTAATTTTAACAGTTTTCACTATTTCACCCTTCTCTGACAAAGGTTGAATAAACCTGGGCAAGGAGTAAAATTTCGGATTGGTTTCTATTGTTTTGCTTGGATTAGCCAGGAATCTCACTTGTTTTGGACCCTGTTGTCTTCTATCAAGTGTGTTTGTGTTGGAAGGTAGCATGTCTAATGGATCATATAATACAGGGGCTACTATGGAGATACCATTGTAAGAAGTTGGATATGACAAATGATCTGATTGGTTGTTAGTAGAAGCAGATGAAGCTGGAAGGGTTAGAGTTGGATTACTCTTAGAGTTTGGTTTGAATGCATTGAAAAGAGTAGATGTCCAGCTTTTTGGTCTAGAGCGAGGTGGAGGTTTAGGTTGGTCTGCATGGGGAATGGGTGGCTTTAAGTGTGGAGGTTCAAGAGAATAAGTAATTTCCTCATCAATATCTGCTTCTCGGTGTTTTGGGGCAGGAGACCGGGGATACTTTTTGTGCTCATTTATTCTTATCCAGGGAGGAGGATCATAATCATTTTGGTTCAATCCTAGTTCAGAATTATTGAATTCTAAGAAACTAGAGCCAGATATTCTCCTCGATTCTCTGTGTCTAACCTGTTCACTTCCTGAAGTGTAATTCCCATTGTTTTGACAGGGCTGAAGAGATCGACCACCATTGTGAAGGTGAGACGGATAAACTCCAGCATGTGCTCTAAATTCAGAAGAATCTCTCGTCAGAATAGAACTCTGATCTGTGGAGTAGTTGTATTCTCCTCGTCTTGATTCCCTGGTATATCTAGTGTGGTGTTGGTACCGTCCAAGCACATGAGCACTTTGATACTTCTTTGGATCATACAAGTTTATGTTATCAGAAGGAACAATAACTCCATTGGGAACTTGATAGCTGACAAATCCGGGTGGGGGTCGTATGATTTTATTTAATCTTGGTCCCAGCTTGGAACTACTATTTCCTGAGCCCGGAGTTACCCTACACCCATCAGACATTGTTTAGAGTTCAGTCCTCTCTATAAAAAGTCAATATTAATGTTTAACATTTTCCAAAGTGTTGAGTATCCTGGCCCAGAGTGATGTCCAATATTCCAAATACTATACTCTACATATACTCAGATCATGCCTTTGGAATTTAAACATAATGCATCCTTTCATCAAAGACAGTTTTTACAAATTTAATGAAATAAGTCATTCAAACCATTCAAACCTCCAATACTTGACCAGTGTTTAACTGATTTAATTTAGATATTTTCATTCCTAAAGAATTATCCAGATGCTGCAAATACTTCACCATCAAGATACTAATCTAAATTCTTCTATTTTTGGAGGGGGGGGGGGGGCCATG